TTATCACCGTTTCAGGTTTGGTACATTCTTCAGTCCTCTGTTGTCCTTCATCTGTCTTTTTAAACTTTGGGTTCTATTCTATGTCAAGAAGGTAAGCTCATTCGTTTCATGTGTACATTTAATAAAGTAAAAATGCATTAGAAATATAATTAGCTTAGTATTTTCTCGTGTAGTAACAATAGATCAATTAACAAGGGTTGGTCCTTACTGAACCTCGAGGAAGAACAGCTATCCAGTGTAAATAAAGTAGGTGTAGGTCAGGTTTGCTCTAGTAAGAGATGGACCTCTAACAGGAATGGATCTACCAGGGAGATGCGTACCACTCCTAGATTTGGAAAAGGGTGTTGCAGGGAGGTGACCACAAATATTTGTTGTTGGTACCAATGGCCCCGGTCCACTGTCCCCTTTGCTCTGTCCCTCCAGTGCATTTATTTTAGTTTGGTTTGATTTTAGACGAGCGTGTTGAACAACTGCCGACCAAGCGTGCGACCATTCCTTGCATCGAAGATGAACCTATTGTTCTTGGTATTACTGGGTATATCTTATGCTCTTATCTTGGTTGCTTTTGGCTATGCGGTCACTTCTTCAGGAAGGTATGTCTGCATCAACCTCGTACCCAGGGTCGGTACGAGGTTGTGTCTGCAGTACGATTTCTTGGATGGAAATGAGCCAAACTGACTGGGAAACTCGCCCAGTGACCTCTATATGTAAACTGGAATGATCACTCCTATGATAAAGCCTATGATTCGCTGAAGCCAAAATAGTTTTTCTGAGTTTTGAGCTGAAATACCATATATATCAAACTGAAGCTATTGAAAATTGCTATTCGGTGTTGACATTTCAGGACTTCAGCGAAAAGGAAAATATTTTAAAAATACAAGTTACACAACGTCAATGAAAAGCTTGGTAACACGGAATCGAACAATCATAAATTTCACATGCGCATAATTTTAAAATGCGGAATGCAAATATTTTGAAATATGATGAAATTTTTAATGCCAGTTGTAGACAATTTCACCAATAGTTGTATTAATATGCTGCCTGACAAACTGTCCGACAAAAACCAGTTATGCCGGAGAATTACCTTTTCGTACCGAACAATGTCCGTGACCGGCCGCTTATATTAGGCTCGCCTCTCGTTCCTTTCGCCTCGCAAAGAGCCTCTGGAACCAGGGTACTCATACTGTATAATATACATACATTAGAAATGATGCTGCATACCTTATAGCCTTTTATTTGTTCTTACTTTCAGTCGACTGTCTCCATCGGACTGCGGTCCATTTACTGGCAAGGACACAATCTATCAAGTGGTTTTGGATAGTGTCAACACGTTCCCAGATGTGTTGAAAGAAATTATTCGTATCATTTCTTCACCAGCTATCATTGCTTTGATCTTTGTAGTTTTTGGGTAGGTCATATTCAGTTACATATAGTTATTTTATTCTAAGTTCTCATGGCTAAAAGCATGAGCAAGTTTTCATTGACAAGTTTATATTTTCTAGGAATTGAAAGAATTTTTAGGATTTTACAACTGCTATATGCACATGCGAAGCAATATCACGATAGTCATCTCGAACATGACAATAATTTCGATATGTCGTCGCTCAAGTTTCTACCTTCGATACGATAATCGCGATTGAAAATATCGCGATAAATCAAAATATCCATGCCTTAAAATATCGGTCGGTCACGGACATTGTCCGACCCATTCGTGAAATTATTATTATTTATTATTTAAAAATATTTTAAAACGGTAGCTCTTCAGGGCTCGTAGGCACCTGTTTTTCAAGAGGCCGTTTATTACAGTATTTACAAGCTATATAAATATAATAACACAAATATACACACAAAACAGAGAAAACATAACGAACTTAATAATTGCATGCACTACATTTGTATCTAAAAATATCCTATTTAAATATTTACAAAGTTACCAAAAGGAATCAAGTGCCGTCAAGAATACGTTTAAATTTGTTAAGGCTAATGCCTTTTTCTTTTGCTGTAGTTGATAAGTCATTCCAAAGGGATGCAGCTGAATAACTGAAGCTCTTTTTCATAAAATTGTTATTGTTACTTCTTAAATCATATCTGTCATTTATTTTAATTTTGAACATGTTGCAAATTGATGATGGCATTTTTTCGTTTCGTATTCTGTGCATAAAAATCGATTTATTGGTTTTATAGCGTTGGTTAAAGGTTGCCAGTCTAATTCTTTTAAAACATCCTCAGAACTAACTTCATAAGTTTTACCACAGTGGTTTTACCAGTGATGATTCGGGCCGCTCTGTTTTGTAATTTCTGAAGTCTGTTTTTTAAGTAATCACAACAGTTATCCCAAACCAAGCTACAATAATCAAAATGTGATAGCACAATGGCATTATATATTTTTACTAAGGTTGATTTGGGAACAAACTGTTTTATTCGTCGCATCATTCCTATTCCTTTTGAAGCTTTTGTGACAATATTTTGGATTTGATGATTCCATAAAAGATGTTCATCAATAATTACGCCTAAAGTTTTTGATTTGTGAACTCGTTTAATGACTGATTCACCAAGCTCAATTTTAGGGTCCGTTAGTACTAAGTTTGAAATTCGTTGTCTTGAACCAATAATCATGTATTCAGTTTTATCTTTGTTAAGTGTAAGTTTGTTTGCAAGTAACCATTGGTGTATATTTTCTAAGTCCACGTTAATGCGTTCTTGTAGTTCGTCATTTGTTTTGCCATTGGTTGAAACATTTGTGTCATCGGCAAACATGCTTGCTGAAGATGAGGTCAGGCAGTTTGGCAGGTCGTTTATATATAATAAGAAAAGAAGTGGCCCAAGATTAGAACCTTGGGGTATTCCACATTTAACTGTTCTTGTCTTGGACATTGTTTGATCTACCTTACATATTTGAATCCTGCTAGAAAGATAGGACTGGAACCAAGCAAGCGTATGACCTCTTATTCCATAACAATGCATTTTTTTAACAATATATTATGATCAACACAGTCAAACGCTTTCTTGAGATCCAAAAAAATCACTCCATTTAACAAACCCTTATCCATATTCATTAGCCATTGGTTCGTGATGTAAAGTAGAGAAGTTTGTGTAGAGTGATTTTTCCTAAATCCTGCTTGTTGTTCTGCAAGAATGTGATTAGTTTCAAGATAAATTTCTAGTTGCTCTGTAACTAATTTCTCATATATTTTAGCAACTGAGGATAGAACCGAGATTGGTCTATAATTATCGCAATTAGTTTTGCTTCCAGTCTTATGAATTGGAGAAATGATAGCAATCTTGAAGTCTTCAGGAAATATACCAGTGTTTATAGATGCGTTAAAGATTGCTGACAGGGATGGTGCTATTACCTCAGCAGCGTCTCTTAGAAGTTTACCGGGTATTCTATCATGCCCTGCTGATTTAGATGTTTTAATTGTAGAGAGCAACTTATATTGTCCGACGTAGAGAGGAAACCACCGGACATTCTGTCCGACCAAAGTGAAACTGAGGTTTATTGTTTGTCCGACCCGAGTGTATTGGTGTCCGACCGAACTGTAGCTTTGTCCGACGTAAATCAAAATGTACCCTAGCCCAGGACTAGAGGCTTGTATGTTAAATGGAAAATCAGAGTACTATTGTATAAAAGGTGAACTGGAAATGTTGTTTAACATAGTCGAGCGCGGGGCGGCGAGCGAAATGGTGAAGTGGAAAACGGGCTTAAGTTGTCGAAGTCTTTTTCAATACTGCTGTTCTGGAAAGCAAGTTAATTTTGGCTTGGAAATAAGTATGAAAGAAACAAATTATTTAATATCTGTACAACATTTACCGTTTATTCATTTGTGTCATTCAGACTTATTTCCGAGTCAAAACTGAACTGAAGGTCATCGGACATATGTCCGAGCCAAACTCGTGTCACCGGACATTTTGTCAGACGGCATCGAAATATCGCCCAACCCTAGGAACAAGGCAAGAATTCTTGGCAAGGAAAAATTGCGACTTTTTGCCGTAAAAGCATAATAAAACTTGTCAAAGAGAAATTGCCCGTCTGTATGGGGCTCAATAGTCAAATATGTACACCATAGCTCATGAATTATTAATGCGTTTTAAAGTCATGTTCAAATGAGGACGAAAATTGATGAGAGTTGAGAAGTGAGAGTTTGCATGAACGTTTTCTCATCTCTCATGGCCCGGTCAAACAAGAACAAGAGTTGCATGAGAGTTGACTGAATATATTCAGTGGTGCAGTTCTGAACTGGTGGAAACTACATTACTTGCATTAGGTATATAGACTAACCATTGTATGCATTGTGCCATATTTATCTAGTGTGTTCATCTATTATTACAAACTTCTCAAGTCTTCCAATGAGCAGAAAATGAAACTGCTACGACAACAAATCATATTGGTAAGTTTTTGTAAATATTACAGTAATAATATATTTTTGGCTATTTGCAATAGATTAGAAAATTTTATTCTCAGCAGTTTCAATTATTTATAAACTAAGTTACTCTCGTATTTGTATTTAGACTGGTAAGGACAAGTTATATTTGATGAAGAAAATAAACAGTCGTGCCATGGAAGCTGAGCAGTAGTTTTACAAAAAGATCATGCAAATGAAACGAGACAGCTTGTCCTGCGCTTGCAACGCAATAGCACATTGTGGTACAGGAACGTTACAGAAGACCGAGAGGCATTCACCCCCCTGAGCGTCCGCCACTTTGAATATTTCCAGGGGTGTGAATGCCTCTGATAAGCGCACTGGCTATAGTACCATGGCGACAGCATTGGAACGGTTACGCCGAAATCATAGGCAAAACCAAGAAGTCGACCTTCTGTAAGGTTCCTATTCTGTGGCGTGGCATCGGTTACGCTTTTTTGCCCGAGTCGACCTTCTGTAAGGTTCCTATTCTGCTATTCTGTGGAAGAAATAGGCCAAAGAAATAAGCGAGAATAATAATGCATAATTATTTTTGTAAAGTAAAATCATCATTTGTAACGCGCTGCAGTACTGCATCATGTAAATAGCGGATAATATAGTTTGTATAAAGATTCATATCGTCTGGCAGTTAACCCATATATTTTCTCTTTTATATTATTATTGTTCTTTTTTTCATCAGTGAACATTATATACACAGCATTATCAGTGAACGCTATCGAGAACGTTTGTGTTCATATTTCACTCTTAGTTAAGATAGAGAATGACTTAATTAATAGAAGATGGGGATAAAGTAAAGGGTGGGGGCTTGTTTTTTTTCAATGTTGGACTGAGGGTTTATTAGAAAGGGGGATGGGGCGGGCTAAAAACAGCTAAATAGAGGAAATCTGTTACTTTAATTAAATTTATTTGTATTATTGTAGACCGATTCTCTGTGGATGTATGTAGGGGGGAGGGGTGCACCCCCAAATATTTTTCACCCCCTCAGGAAGTTTTCCCACCCCACCTGGAGAGAAATGTGCACCCCCCAGAAATTTAAATGTTCGTTGGGTTCAATAGATAGCTTAAGATCTACGACGTCGACGTTAGCTAGGACGTCAGGGCTAAGCAGAGGACTGGGACTACATTAGGACGATATCCTAGTCCCAGTCCTCTGCATAGCCCTGACGTCGACGTCGTAGATCTTAAGCTATCTATTGACAGTAGTGTGATTGACAAAAAGGATTTTGAACTAAACTAAATGAGACCAAAAATTTCCTGTGACCCCAGCTGCAGCTTCCCCCGCGACGCTACGCACCCCTTCGCCCTCCCCCCCCCCGCAAAATTTGAAAATCTGTCTATGTTGTACACGCCCTTCGTAGAAATCAGCTTGTGTTGCGGACGACGTTGTGTTGACGACATCTATTGATCTATTTACTAAGGTTACTATCCATTTCTTACATACGCTCTAGTTGCTTGGGGTAACACGTACAATACAACAGTGAATCCATTAGCTATCCTACAAAAAAAGATTATTCGTTTAATAACATTTTCTAACTATCAAGATCATACTAACCCTCTCTTCATTCAACTTCGTTTTCTCAAGTTTCATGACCTTATTTTTTATCATAATGCACTATTTATGTACGACTTTCATACAGGTCGACTTCCTCACGTATTTGATGAGTATTTTGCATTAGTAAGCCAAAAACATAACTATAACACCAGACTTGCTTCGAGATCGTCATACTCCCTTCCAAAAGTAAGAACCAACTATGGAAAATTTAATATACGGTTTGTTGGCAGTAATGTGTGGAATTCAATTGACGAAAATCTTAAGGGTCTTTCTAAATCACAGTTTAAACACAAACTTAAAAATAATATATTGAATTCATATTAGCTTATAGCATCAAAATTGTCCATTTTGAAATCTTTATTGCATGTGTTTTATTTATTCAGTTTACCCACTAAAATATATTTTGTTACTAATCAAATTCGCTGACTGTCTCGATTAGCCTTTTGGTTATTACAGTTAGCTAGTACCTTCTTTTCGTAACTTTATCTTTATTTTATATTTATGTATGTATTACTACCGGTACTGAATAAAATTGTATTGTATTATTGTATTGTATTAGAAAATTTTTGGCTGATCGAAAAAATTTTTTCCTCATAGATCGACTTAGAAAGGTTCAAAACGCATATTAACGCAGATAGGTTTGGTTCAGGGGAATTTTAAAGCACATTTTACATGGCTATCATAGCACTGAAGCCGTATGCAAATGAATCCTTGCCCGTCCTACTCAATATAAATTGTACTACGCTTGCCCGTCCTTTACTATAAATTACACTACGCTTGCCCGTTGCCCGGATTTCGGAATCAAAAAAATTTTTAGCTGACCGAAAAAATCTTTTCGTCATAGATCGACTTAGAAAGGTTCAAAACGCATATTAACGGAGATAGGTTTGGCTCAGGAGAATTTTAAAGCACATTTTACATGGCTATCATAGCACTGAAGCTGTATGCAAATGAATCCTTGCCCGTCCTAGTCAATATAAATTGTACTACGCTTGCCCGTCCTTTACTATAAATTACACTACGCTTGCCCGTTGCCCGGATTTCGGAATCAAAAAATTTTTTGGCTGACCGAAAAAATTTTTTCGTCATAGATCGACTTAGAAAGGTTCAAAACGCATATTAACGCAGATAGGTTTGGCTCAGGGGAATTTTAAAGCACATTTTACATGGCTATCATAACACTGAGGGGACATATTTTGAATGCACTTTCGTTTGAAAATAATTCTTATTACGAAGGCATATACTTCACCTTCGGCAACACGTCAGTCTTGTTTACATATTAATTGCATTGTCATATTGCGCGTTATTCACTGTGCGCTGGGCACTAGACACAAGTTGACTCAAATTGTCAGCCGTGAGGCCCTGGGACCGAGGATGTATTGGGCCGTATTGGAACAATGGGATTTTGAAAACAATGAAAAGACAATGGAACATTCTGAACACCGGATCATGACTAGATGGCACTTTCAAAAAGCTTACTACATTTATATATAAGGATAGCTTTCACACAACGAAATCACAATAGATACCGTAAACCTCCGACTATAAGCCCTGTGCTTATATACTTTCGTAAGCGATTTTTGATGGGCTTATACAGATATACGGGGGGCTAATAAATGGACGATCAGTTTTGTGTTAGTAATAAACAAGTGAGACATAAACATGTATTAATAACGCGCTTTGTGATTAACATAGTCGGCTATAAAGACAATGACAATCTTTTAAATATCGTTCTCTGCTATAAGGGGGGTGGCCTTATATTCGGGTGACTTATATTTGGGGGTCTTATATTCGGGGGGGGGGGTTAAATTTGTAACGAGGTGAGCTTTAGTATATGTGGTCAACCTCGTCCCCAGGGCCTTTTGAGGAAAGATGCGAAGGGCAGCAAAGGCCCTGGTAAAGGCTGGTGAAATAATCCACAAATTGTGGATTATTTTGTCACGTGATATATCGGAGCAAATACTATACAGGGGGGTGCGATCGCGGATCGCTTTAGCTAAAATATATTCGTCAATATAATGCATAAACACCGAAATCGACAAATAAAGAACAAAAATCTATTTTAAAATGAAAAAATCTGTTAAAGTTCTTCCAAAAATATTGAATAAATTTGAAATTGTCTTCAAATTAGCTCTGAGAACCTTGGTTGAACTGTAAAGGAGATCTATTAAAATATAGACAAAGCAACAGTGCAAAACGAATGGATCGATCGATAGAAGTATTTACTATGAATTTTAAATACTGTCGCAAGGAAATTGCTGCCTCGATTGTGAAACAGATATGTAAAATCACTTTAATTTAATAATATGGACTCGATCTCAATACACCATATCCATGATCATCAAAACATTTAATAGTTATTGTTGCTACAATAGATCTTTCTTGCAAATGTCAATATCATACAGTATATTTAACAGTTAAAGAGAGTACAAGACCCAAAGAATGTCTGAAAAACAAGG